CAGATCTTATGAAAAATAACTTTTTTTCTTGGAGAAATAAGCCAAAAGAAATTTTAAAAAACTCTTATGTTTTAAGCCTCCCCACATAACTGAGTTGCTTTTTCACAACTTAAGTATTCTTTGTCCAATCCAGTATATAAGTGATTGACTCTAACTACTACTTTGGGTCTTCATTTCTTTATGAAGGCGCCTGTGCCACATAAAACTTGTATTAAATAAATCTGTACATTTTTCTCTGTTGATCTGTCTTATGTCAATTTAACTTTCAGGCCCAGCGAAAAGAAATCCTAAAAGGGAAGAGGTAAATTTCTACCTCACTCCTTATACCAGTCATTCCACTCCTGGGTATCCACCCAAGAGAAATGAAAACATATGTCCACACAAAAACTTGTACGCAAATGCCCATAGCAGCATTATTCATAATAGCTAAAAAGTGGAAACAACCCAAATGTCCATTGACTGATGAGTGGATAAACAAAATGTGGTCCATCCATACAATGAAATATCATTCAGGAATAAAAAGACATGAAGTGCTTCTAAAATAAACAGATAGAAACATATAGTAGAATGGTGGTTGCCAGGGGCTGAGAGGAGGGGGTAATGAGAAGTTGCTATTCAACGGGTATAAAGTTTCAGGTATACAAGATGAATAAGCTCTAGAGATTGGCTGTACATTGCACCTGTAGTTAACAGTACTGTACTGTGCACTTAAAAATTTAAGAGGATACACCACGTGCGGTGGCTCACACCTGTAATCCCAGCACTTTGGGAGGCCGAGGCAGGTGGATTACCTGAGGTCAGGAGTTCGAGACCAGCCTGACCAATATGTTGAAATCCTGTCTCTACTAAAAATTAGCCAGGTGTGGTGGCACACACCTATAGTCCCAGCTACGTGGGAGGCTGAGGCAGGAGAACTGCTTGAACCTGGGAGGTGGAGGTTGCAATGAGCCGAGATTGCGCCACTGCACTCCAGCCTGGGTGACAGAGCGAGACTCTGTCTCAAAAATCAAAACCAAAACCAAAACAAACAAACAAACAAACAAACAAAAACAAAATTTAAGAGGGTAGTTTTCATGTTAAGTGTTCATGCCACAATAAACAAAATAATAAAAGGAATAAGGTCCTAATACATGCTATAACATGGATGAGCTTTGAAAACATTAGGCTAAGTTAAAGAAGACAATCATGGCCGGACACAGTGGATCATGCCTGTAGTCCCAGTACTTTGGGAGGCCAAGGTGGGCGAATTACCTGAGGTCAGGAGTTCAAGACTAGCCTGGCCAATGTCTACTAAAAATACAAAAGCTAGCCAGGCGTGGTGGTAGGTGCCTGTAATCCCAGCTACTTGGGAGGCTGAGGCAGGAGAATTGCTTGAACTCGGGAGACAGCGGCTGCAGTGAACTGAGATCTGGCCACTGCACTCCAGCCTGGGTGACAGAGTGAGACTGTGTCTAAAATAAATAAATAAGACAATCATAAAAGACCACATATTTTATGATTCCATTTATATAAAATGTCTAGAATAGACCAATCTACAGAGACAGGAAGTAAATTAGTGGTTGCCTGTGGCTAGGGATGAGGGTTGGGAATGAGGAATGATTGCTAATGGGTACGATGTTTCCGTTTGGGGTGATAAAATATTCTAAAATTAGATTATGATGATGGTTGCACAATTCCGTGAATATGCTAGGAACTGCTGAACTGTAAGCTTTAAATGGGTGAATTTTATGGCAGATGAATGATATCAATAAAGCTGTTAGAAAAAACAATCATAGCTAGTAAGTGCCAAGCAGGGTTGCAAAGTCAATATCTGGCAAGGGGTAGGTATTCAATAAATGTTTACTGAATAGATTGATGAATAAATAAACACCTTTCACATTCAAATAAAAAATGCCCAAGTTATTTTCATTAACATTAGCAGCAAGATAGCAAATACCCTCTATTAAATGTCACTCAACATTGTTCTGAAAGCTCTAACTAGTGCAACAGAAGATGAGGTGATCAGAATAAATATTTGAGAGAAGAGACAGTATCATTTTTAATTGGATGGAATATGGTAGCTAGGAAAAGTAAGACTATAAAAAGCAACTAGATTCATATGAGAATTTGGTAATTGGACTGAATACGAAATAAAATTATAAAAATAGATTTTCCCTATGGAAATAGAAAAAAATATGCTATTCACAATGATGATAAAAACAAAGGTAAAATATCTAAGAATGAACTATTAAAAAAAAAAAAAGGTGCTGGACCCATAAGAAAACTATCAAATATTATAGTTTTAACGGTTATTTTTGAAACTAGATAAAATAGTTTTAACATTCATATGGAAGAAAAAGGCCGGGAGCAGTGGCTCATGCCTGTAATCCCAGAACTTTGGGAGGCCGAGGCAGGCGGATCACAAGGTCAGGAGTTCAAGACCAGCCTGGCCAATATGGTGAAACCTCGTCTCTACTAAAAATGCAAAAATTAGCTGAGCAGGGTAGCACGCGCCTGTAGTCCCAGCCACTCGGGAGGCTGAGGCAGGAGAATTGCTTGAACCTGGGAGGTGGAGGTTGCAGTGAGCCGAGATTGCACCACTGCACTCCAGCCTAGGCAACAGAGAAAGACTCCATCTCAAAAAAAAAAAAAAGAATAATAATAAACGCACAAGAAAATTAATGAAAGCAACCAAGAAGAAAGCGAGGGAGACTAGTTCTGTGTGATATTAAAACTATTTCTAAAGTCAATATGATTTTTTAAAAAGGAGAACTAAACAGTTCAGAAATAAAACAATACACATTTGGGAACTTATGTGACAAAAGTGGCATTTAATTGAATTAGAAAACGGTATTCATTTAACGGCTGGTGCTGGCAAATTAGGTATCCAAATGGAATATATGAACTGATTCCATCTCACACCATACACCAAAATGAATTCCAGTTAGATTAAAATTTAGCTTTAAAAATTGAAACAATAAATATATTAAATATAAATTTAAGGCATATTTGTTTGAACATGAAATGAGGAGAAGTCACTAGGCAAGACAATACACTCAGAACTTGTAAAGGAAAAAGGCAGATATATCTTCATAGATGATTTTTAAAAAATCAAAGGTGAAGACATCTTTCAAAAGTCAAAATCCAGAGATAGAGGAAATATAGTTACAATACAGGTTAATATTCACAAATTAGTAAGAAAGACAAACCACCTAAAGGAAACAAAGGGCAAAGGACATGAAAAAGTTTAAATATATATTTCAATGGCCAATAAGAATGAAATAATGTTCAGCCACTAGTTGTCAGGAAAATGTACATCAAGGCAAACTAGATACCCTTGTGTTTGGCCCTCAGAATGGGGAAAATTAAAAAAAAAAAAAATCCAGTGCGGAAGAGGATTTTGGAAGAAGTCTTTTTATATGTTGCTGGTGGGAGTTCCAACTTTACAAAAGTTTTGGAAAGTAGTATGGTGGTATGTATTGAACTTAAAAGCATCATTCCTGCACGTAATGATCACTCAGGTGACAGCCTCTAACCACAATTTAGAAATCAGTAACAAAGATGTCAATGTTTTGGGAAATCAAAATCTCATATTTAAATAACCCAGAGGTAAGAGTGAACATTGCAACTGCAATTAGAAAACATTAGAAGGAAACTATAGTGGAGATGCTACATATCAAAACTTGTGGGTTGGATGCTCATGCCTGTAGTTCCAGCACTTTGGGAGGATGAGCTGGGAGGACTACTTGAGGATTGCTTGAGGCCAGGAGTTCAAGACCAGCCTGGGCAACATAGCAAGACCCCAATCTCTACCAAAAATTTAAAAATTAGCTGGGCAAGCCTGCCTATAGTCCCAGCAACTTGGGAGGCTGAGGTGGGAGGATCACTTGAGCCTAGGAGGTTGAGACTGCAGTAAGCCATGATGGCTCCACTGCACTCCAGCCTAGGCAACAGAGAGAGATTCTTGTATCTTAAAAAAAAAAAAAAAAAAAAAAAAAAAAAAAAAAATCAGCCTGGGCAACATAGTGAGACCCTGTGTCTACACAAAATAAAAAATTAGTGGGTGTGGCAGCACATGCCTGTAGTTCCAGCTACTTGGGAAGCTAAGTTGGGAGGATCGACTGAGCACAGGAGGTTGAGGCTACAGTGAGCCATGATCGTGCCACTGCACTCCATCTCTGGGCGACAGAGTGAGACCCTGTCTCAAAACAAAACCGAACAGCAGCAACAACAACAACAACAACAACAAAACATGTGACATGGAGCTAAAGAGTTCTTAGAGAAAAATTTATAAACTTAATGTTTATATTATAAAATAAAATGACTGGATAATAAGAGATAAGCATTCAATTCAGGACTTTAAAAATGAGAACAAAAGAAAAAAACAGAAAAGAAATAACGAAGTTAAGGGCAGATATTAATGACAGAGAAACAAAGACACAGGAGGACCAACAAAGTCAAAAGTAGGTTTTTGAAACAACCTCATCTCACACCTAAAGACCACCTATCACTGACCCCAGGAAGCTGCATATCTGATTCCACAGCCCCCCATCACCAGTCCCAAATAAACGCATCACTCACCCGGCAGAAACCTTGGTCAATCCCCCAATAAACCCCATCCTACACCTCACAGACCTCCAGTAGTCACCCCGCACAGCCCCTTCTCACGCCACGGACTTCTCATCACTCATCTCACATATACCTTATTACTCACCCTAGAGACCCTGTATCACTCACTCCACAGACCCCCTTATCATTTACTCCGGTGTCCCCAACACTCATCCTACAGGCTACCCATCAATTTTCTCTAGTGACCCATCACTCACCCACAAACCCCAATCACTCTCTCTGCACCTCCCTATAAATGACCCCAGAGAAGCCTCCTCACCCCACTGAGCATCATCGAGTACAAAATCCATGTCATAACATCCCCATAATTATCTCAACGCTTGATCCATGTCTTAACATCTCCATAATTATCTCAATGCTTAAGTGGCCCTAAGTCCGTCTGTTAAACTCACTCCCAGAGCCTTAAGTCCTGAAAACTGCTTCGAGGGACCCCGGCGCTTCTGGACTTGATCTGCACATGCTTAGTGTCAGCTCCGAAGCGGCCGCTCGCCCACAATTACACCTGGTGCCCTTACACCGCGCCGGTGCGTGCGTGCGTGCGTGCGCGTGTGCGTCGAAGGAGAGGCGGGCTTTCCAATTTCCTGCAGCGACTGTCAGGCAAGGAACATGGCTGTCCCCTTGGGAGTGTCTCTACGGGAGCCGCCATCTTGGAAGGGTGATCACTTCTGCAGCGGAGCCCACGGTACTCTACTCGATATACCCCTGTGGGATTTTCCAGTGGCCGAGGCACTGGGCCATGGAATGTACCACCAGGCTTCTCCCCTCCGCCGCAGCCTCTAGGAGTCAGTCGCCTTCGGGGCGCCTTACCTCTTCCGCCCTCAGGGTGCACTCGGCCTCAGGCCGTCCCCACCGGGGAGCCTCCGCCTCTTTAAATAGCGCCCAGCCCCCACCCCCAGGAGCAGGTCCCGAGACGCACCCGGCCCCGCCCCCGCCCCCGCCCCCGACGCCGCACTGCTCTGTGGGACGCGGCGACCCCTCTCCCGCCGCGGCCGGGACCCCGCACCCGCCCCGTCCCGAGCCCACCTGGCGGCCCTGCTGGCTACAGCTCCGACCTGGGCCCAGGCCGGCTGCGGGAAACGCCCGGCGTCTCGGCTGTCACCGAACCTGTGCAGTTGCCGCAGGGGGAGTCGTGCGTGTCAGATTTAGGCCAGGAAGCGGAAGTCGCCGGCAGCGAGAGTTTAACCTCTGTGGGCGCGGAGGGTTGCGGGGATTCAGCGCCCGGGACCGTGGATCTGTGCAGGGAGTCATAGGTGTGTGTGACATCAGGGGTGGAGTATTTTGGCTCGTTTTCACAATTCAGTCATTAGCCTTTTTGCTTTCCTCCTGGAAGCATTAAAGTTGAAGTTTTCTTCTAAAAATCCAAGTTTTGATTTGTTGTATTAGTTCGGATTTGATTTTTGTTCGTGTTCGGTTTCAAGTGTTGATTTGTAACTCTCCCCCTACACACGCCTTTTGACCCCTGAGTTATTTATTTTTTTATTTTTATTTTTTATTATTATTATACTTTAAGTTCTAGGGTACATGTGCATAACGTGCAGGTTTGTTACATATGTATACTTGTGCCATGTTGGTGTGCTGCACCCATCAACTCGTCATTTACATCAGGTATCACTCCCAATGCAATCCCTCCCCCCTCCCCCGCCTGAGTTATTTAAAAGTCCATTGTCGGAGTGGCAAACATCCTCTGAGACTCAAAGGGCAAGGCCTTGGGCGCTTTATTCCGGTTGCTCCAGGAATGTGGGAAAGCAGCGGAGTTTCATTCTAGGGGAAGGAAACAAAGGCGGCCGAGTGCCAGCTGCACGTTTGGTGGGCTTTGGTCATCAGGGGTGGACATGCTGCCCAACGGAGCTGTCGGCAGGTTGACCCAGCTTGGTCCATCGCGTCCTGTTCTAGGAATCGATTAGTCAAAGAAGGAATTTAGAGGGACTGCAGAAAATGTTACAGGTCTTAACACCGTTTTGCGTTTCCGCAAACGAACAAGAAGTTAATCCCTGTGTTAGTGATTTCTAAGCCCATTTGCCTTGTGGCCCAAGAATGTTGAGCTTGAAATTTGATGAAACTTGCCTTAAGGCTCAAGTACGAGGCCAGCTTTCAAAAATGGTTTTGTGTCTTGATTGAAAACACTGTATCTTCTAGTTGTTGGGTTTATCGTACTCTACGGCTCTATCGGTTCAAGCTTGTGTGTTGGGCCTTTTAAAATGTGTGTTTCCTGATAATTCCCTTTAGCTTGTCAACTGGGGGTAATGGGGGGGGGGGGAGAAAGAGAGAGAGGAGAGAAAGAGAGACTGTATTGTCAAATTTTTCCTTGTGCTATTCAATTTTTTTGCTTCCTATGTTTTGAAGTTTTATTAACTGCAGGTAACGGTGTTTCATTACTGAATAGATATAGTCAAATTCCTTCCCCCAAAAGATTATATAAAGTTTCCTAGTCCTACCAGCAAAATCATTAAGTTCATTAAGGCAAATCCCCTCCAGCGCTGGATGTTGATGCTGTCTTTAATTTTGTATTTTTCTGACTACTTGTGCAATTGAGGATTGTTTTGGTCTGTTGGCCATTTGGCTTTTCTCTTTTGCAGATGTTCATATCCTTTGTCCAGTTTTCTCTGGGGTGATTTGTCCTTTTCTTATCAATTTGTAAACAGTGTACAAATTACATTGTACACTAGGGATATTAACAGTCTGTCAGTTACACTGTACATTAGGGATATTACATTAGAGATATTAACATCTTTGTCCATTAAGGCTATTGACCATCTGTCAGTTACATTGCAGTATTTTCCCCCAAACTCCTTTTGTCTTTTGCATTTTATGTTTTTTTAAATGTGCAATTAGAAAAATTTTATGTGGGCTGGGCACAGTAATCCCAGCACTTCGGGAGGCTGAGGCTGTTGGTCACCTGAGGCCTGGAGTTCGAGACCAGCCTGACCAAAATGGTGAAACCCCATCTCTACTAAAAATAAAAAAATAATAATAAAGAATAAGTAGCTGGGTGTGGTATCTCTACAAAAAAAAAAAAAAAAAAAGCCAGGTATAGTGGTGGTTGCTTGTAATCCCAGCTACTTGGGAGGTTGAGGCAGGAGAATCGCTTGAACTTGGGAAGTGGAGGTTGCAGTGAGCTGAACTCACACCACTGCACTCCAGCCTGGGTGATAGAGCAAGACTTCATCTCAAAAAAAAAAAAAAAAGAAAGAAAAATTTTATGTGTAATATGTAACTAGTGAAATGTAGCCTCTGATCAGATATGTCTAAACTTTCTTTTTATGGCTTTTGTATATCCCATCTTGCCTAGTTTCCCTTCCCTATTCCAGATAGAAAGATAATCTTAACATTTATTTCAGTGTTGTTATTGCTTTAGTTTTTTTTCTACTTTAATCTAATTGGAATTTACTGTGGTATATGGTATGAAATCAAGATCAAGCTTGAACAAGAAGCCTGTGTCACGCTTTTTTCTGTGTCAAATAAAATCAGAGACTTTAATTAGAAAGACAGGCTATTGCAAAAGGGAGAATGCTCCCAGCTCAGAAACCTGAGAGCATCTTGAAACCAAACAGAAAAAGGCTTTTCTTGTACAGGGTAGGGAGGCAGGCAGAGATAAGCAGAATCTGTGGAAAGGAAGCTGCACAAACAAGGGGGAATGGCCAGTGGGGTCTGCCAGGAAATTGTCCCACTGTGGTCCGCCTATTCCCAGGAGAAGCTGAGAAGCAGGGTCCGTCGGGAGGGGGGGAATTTCGACTTTTTTTGATGCTTGCCCAGGCTTAGGGGCAAGCAGAGTTAGGAGCTTGTAGGAAAGAAGCCTGGTTCAAGTTTGGCTAAAGAGCATTTCGTTCTGATTGATCAGTGGGGACAAGCAGTTAGGCTTGTCATCTATGAGGCAAAGAATGGGAATTTGGAGAGTGGGTGTCAGGGCTTCTCAGGTAAACAGGGGACATCCGTGACTTCTAAGTCATATGGGGAAGGATGGTTCTTTGCAGTAAGCCATTTTCCAGAAAAGCCATTTTCCCTTTAGAGTAAGGGGATTTTTTGACCTGCACTGCTCACCAGGCTGAGGTAAAATTCAGTATTGTCAGTTGGCACCATTTATGAAACACACCACCTTGTACCCACAATTCAGTCATATAAGGTCACAAATATACTTAGCTTGACCTGAACTCTATTTTGTGTCTGTAATCTATTTGATTTCAAGGGATTTTTGTTCTTGCAAATTTATTTTCTAGGAATTCTCTGAAGTTTAAAATCATTTAATCAAGTTTCAAAATGAATGCTACCAACCCGTCCCCCAACCCCCCCAAAAAAAACCCCAAAACACAACAAAACTAAATTGTTGTGGCTGGGCGAGGTGACTCACGTCTATAATCTCAGCATTTTGGGAGCCCAAGGCGGGCAGATCACTTGAGGCCAGGAGTTTGAGACCAGCCTGGCCAATATGGTGAAACCCTGTCTTTACTAAAAAATATAAAAATTAGCCACCCTGGTGGCATGCACCTGTAATCCCAACTTCTTGGGAGGCTGAGGCAGGAAAATTGCTAGAACCCAGAAGATGGAGGTTGCATTGAGTAGAGATTATACCACTGCACTCCAGCCTGGGCAACAGAGTGAGACCGTCTCAAAAAAAAACAAAAACAAAAACAAAACAAAACAAAAAAACCTCAACTATTGCTGGGCAAGGTGGCTCACACCTGTAATCCCAGCACTTTGGGAGGCCCAGGCAGGCGGATCACTTGAGGTCAGGAGTTTAAGACCGGCCTGGCCAACATGGTGAAACCCTGTCTCTACTAATAATACAAAAATTAGCTGGGCACAGTGACACACGCCTGTAATGCCAGCTACTCGGAAGGCTGAGGCAGGAGAATTGCTTGAACCCGGGAGGCAGAGGTTGCAGTGAGCCAAGATCGTGCCACTGCACTCCAGCCTGGGTGACAGAGCAAGACTGTCTCAAAAAAAAAAAACCATAAAAACAAAAAAAACTAAACTATTATGCTTTTGATTGGAATTATATTTACATTAATATAATAGTTAGGGAGATGTAATGTTTTTATTACATTAAGCCTTTCTTTATATCTAGGGATTTGATGTGTCTGTTTGATTATGTCTTATATGCTGCAATGATATTTATAATTTTCTAAATCCATCATCTTTTTATCTTTTTTGGTTAAATTTATTTTTGTATATTTATATTTTTGTTGTCATTAAGACTTATTTTTGCTAGTCCCATCTGCTTACTGCTAGTATAGGAAGAACCTATATTTATAATTTTCTCTTTTATTTTTATTTTTTGAGACAGGATCTTGCCTTGAAGTTCACTGGCATGATCACAGCTCACTGTAGCCTCAACCTTTCAGGCTCAAATGATCCTCCCTCCTCAGCCTCCCAAGTAGCTTGGACTACAGGTGTGCACTACCAGACTCAGCTAATTTTTGAATTTTTCTGTAGAGATAGGTTCTCCCTGTGTTGCCCAGGCTGGTGTCAAACTCCTGGACTCAAGTTACTCTCCCACCTCATCCTCCCAAATGGCTGGGACTACAGGTGATAATTTTATCTTGTATCCAGCTCCTTATCAAAACTATCTACCTATTCTGGTAGCTTCTCAGTACAGTTTTTTCTTAGGTTTTCTAATGGTACAGTCATATCCGATATAGATAATATTCCCTATCTGACATTTGATATGATTATTTCTTCTTTTTTCACTGTATTAACTGTCTAATAAGGTAGCCACTAAGCTCATTGGCTATTTATTTTATTTATTATTATTATTTTTTGAGACAAGGTCTCACTCTGTCACCTAGACTGGAGTGTAGTGGCATGATCTCTACTCATTGCAGCCTCTACCTCCCAGGCTCAGGCGATCCCCTCACCTCAGCCTCCCAAGTAGCTGGGACTACAGGCATGCACCACCACGCCCAGCTAATTTTTGTATTTGTAGAGACTTGGTTTCACCATGTTGCCCAGACTGATCTCAGACTCTTGACCTCAAGGGATCCACCTGCCTTGGCCTCCCAAAGTGCTGGGATTACAGGCATGAGTCACTACACCCAGCCCCAGTCTCTTTGTTTTAAATGTGCTTGTAGGCTGGGCGCGGTGGCTCATGCCTGTAATCCTAGCACTTTGGGAGGCCGAGGCGGGCGGATCACCTGAGGTTGGGAGTTCGAGACCAGCCTGACCAACATGGAGAAACCTTGTCTCTACTAAAAATACAAAATTAGCCGGGCATGGTGGCAGATGCCTGTAATCCCAGCTACTTGGGAGGCTGAGGCAGGAGAATTGCTTAAACCCATGAGGTGGAGGTTGCAGTGAGCCGAGATCACACCATTGCACTCCAGCCCGGGCAACAAGAGCAAAACTCCATCTCATACACACGCGCACACACACACACACACACACAAGTGCTTCTAGTAATTAACACATAACTTTTGTTTTATAACCCAATTTTACAGTCCCTCTGTTTTATAGGAGAACCCAGTCCATTCAGTTTATCAGCGATATGCCTGTTTTTGTGTGTTCCATTAGACTTCGTTTCCTTTTTTTTGATTTTGTTATTGTTACCACCTTTTCAATTTCCTTACATTTGTTGGCTCTGTTAAGCTTCTGTTTATTCCCCTTCTCCCTCCCTTAGTAATTTGGAAGTTCTGTTCTGCTTATCAATTCTTCTGGTGATTATCTTTCTATTCCTTATAAGCATAATTCACGTTTTCTCTGTTGGTAGATTAAGCACACACATGGGCACACATACACACACAGATGTGTTACTGGCCTTTACTCCTAATTTCTCAGGAGAATGAACCATTTAGAATGTTTTTACCTCTTCATTCTACCCTCACCCAAAATTTCTGTTCTTTTCTGAGATAGTTTTTTTTTTTTTTTTTTTTTTAATTAGAAGAGACACTGGAAACATGATGGCAGCAGCGTAGTTTCCACTCTCTTGTTATGCCAGCATACAGACAGAGCAACCAGATGACAAAATCAAAACTCATGGACAACATTTATGGTGGGGCCAGTGGACACAGTGTCCCCAGTGTGGCAGATTTTCTGCAGATAGGGCTGCCAGCTGTATTTCCAACCCTGCACGTGTTTGCCACCGTCCCATCAAGACATGGAGCCTATTTTTTCATCCTTTGTGTCTGGGCTGGCCTTGTGTTCCATTTGACCAATAAGGTATGGTAGAAATGGCATTCTGGGACTTCTGAGCCCAGCCTTAAAAAACATTGAACTTTTGCTTTAGTGAGAGGAGAACCTAGATACCCTGTAAAGAGGTCTGTGCTGTCCTTCTGAAGACAGAGGTCCTGGAGGATGAGACACCTTTTAAAAATAGGTCATGCAGCGCTATCACGGCCACCCGGCTAGCTCAGTCAGTAGAGCATGAGACTCTTAAATATAGGCCATGTACATAACTGAGGCCCCTGCTGGCAGCTAGCACTGAGGTCCCAGTCATGTGATGAAATTATCTTGCATCCTCCAGTACCATTCCAACTTCCCCAGGCATCATATAGAGAAGAAACAAGTCTGGGCGTGGTGGTTCACACCTGTAATCCCAGCCCTTTGGTAGGCTGAGGCGGGCAGATCATCTGAAGCAGTGAAGCAAGGAGTTTGAGACCAGCCTGGGTAGCAAAGCAAGACCTCATCTCTACTAAAATATATTAGCCAGGCACAGTTGCACATGTTGGTAGTCCCAGCTACTCGGGAGGCTGAGGCAGGAGAATTGCCATGCCCAGGATTTTGAGGCTGCAGCGAGCTAGGATCGCACCACTGCACTCCAATGGTCAACAGGACAAGATCCCACCTCTAGGAAGAAGGAGAAGGAGAAGGAGAAGGAGGAAAAGAAAAGAAAAGAAGAAGAAAGAAGAAACGAGCCATCCCCACTGAGCCATGCCCAGATTCGTGAGCAATAAAATAGTTATTAATCCACTAAGTTTTGGTGTGGTTTATTTACACAGCAATAGATAGCTGAAATATCCATGAATATCAAAATACACATGAGTAAGGACAAGTCACTAACAGCCACAACAACTTCATGGTACAATTATCTGTATAGGAAAAAGCAGGGGGAAGTAAGCAGCATTTGCCAGACCTGAGAACACAATACCAAAACAGCCAGTGGGCATGACAGACCAACTTGAATTCAGCAGCTGAAACTGAGAGGAATTTTGCAAAATTCAGCAACAAGTGAGTTTGAGGGGTCTGCAGGAAGGTTGGAAGGGGTTGGAGCAGCAGACTATAATAATTCCTATGAACTCCTTTTTTTTTTTTTTTTGAGACTGGATCTTGCTCTGTCACCCAGGCTGGAGTGCAGTGCCATGATCTTGGCTCACCTAAGCCTCAACCTCCCAGGCTCAAGCAATCCTCTCCCCTCAGCCTCCCGAATAGCTGGGACTATAGGCACATGCCATCACACTGAGCTAATTTCTTAAATTTTTAGTGGAGATAAGGTCTAGCTATGTTGCCCAGGCTGGTCTTGAACTCCTGAGCTCAAGTGATCCTCCTGCCTCAGCTTCCCAAAATGCTGGGATTATAGGTGTGAGCCATCATGCCCAGCCTTCTATGAACTCTTAAGACTGACTGTGCTTGGGGGTTCCCAGGACCAACTTCAGGTTCACTGATTCACTATGAAGGACTCAGAATTCAGCAAAGCTGCTATACTGATGGTTATAGTTCATTAGAGCAAAAGGGTAGAGACTTAATTCAGCAATGGAAAAGGGCACATAGGGCAGAGTCCAGGGGAAACAAGGATCAAGCTTTGGGTTCTCCCTTCTCAGTGGAGTCATACGGCCAGTGCTTAATTCTCCCAGCAAGATGTGGGGTAACATACATGAAGTATTACCACCCATGGA